TACGATGTTTCAAACATCTTGATACGGTGAAAAACAATGTTTCAAGCATCTTGATATAGTAAATATACATGTACAATGTTTCAAACATCTTGATACGGTAAATATACATGTACAATGTTTCAAACATCTGGATACGGTAAATATACATGTACAATGTTTCAAACATCTGGATATGGTAAAGATACAATGTTTCAAACATCTTTTACAACAATAGATTTTTCTTCACTCAAATTGTAAATAATGCGAATCCAGAGAATTAATGATAAAAGTACAAGTAAAACTGCTGAACAATGATGTTAATAATTGATTTTGACATTTAAATCGAAGTTCAGCTCGTGTGGAATGATGTTTAACATGTTTGGGGTGATTAGCACAGACGACACACACAATAAACTGGTGACGTCATCAAGATTTTAATCTTATAATTACATTTCCGTTTTCCCGTTCAATTAATTGAAATAAAAGATTTTCTCTTTGTACAATATTATAATAACGATTGATTGGTATTGATCACTCATTGTTTTTCTTTTATTGTTTATTCTTTATTTTGACAATGATGTAGGCAACGTTAAAAATATATGCAATCCTACATAATCATATTTTTTTTCATCTTGGACACTGTCGGCTATGGGACGTTTTCACAATGTCAAGCTATTACCAACTGTGTCTTATACCTCGACCGCATTGGGCTCTTTACTAGATCACGGAATGCAGCCTTTTGATTGACTTGTACGCTAGTGATTCAGCGAATCGAAGCCATCGCCAAACGGACATTATGGCACATGGTTTACAGAATTTTTGTTAAGGCTTCTGATTAGCTGTAATCGCTAGCGTACAATCTTGCATTTATAAATTTCTGAAATACAAGTAATGAACTTAATGATGTCAAGGTATTAGATGCAGTTCGTAATAGATTAACCCGTGAAGATAACTATAGGACTGTAAGATCTTCCTGCATCAGATACAGGAAGTTCAACTAACTTAGTACCAGTGCCAAGTTATCGGAAATAGATTGAACACTTATGTTTCATGAATCAATGACTGCTTTTCAGATCAAATAATGCTTTCACGGTAGGCCGTTTGCAAATAAGACAAAACGAAATTTTGACTTTTTGTTGAAATGAAATGAAGTGAACGGAGTTTTACGTCCAACTTTTCTGCACCATGTGGGATAATGAAGACGGATCTTTTTGTTGAAGAAAAGGCATTTTGTGCATAATAATTCACTATCTGTTCTGAGCCTCACCTACATTCCAAATCGTTGCTCAAGTGACTGCAAACTGGAAGCACCTGAGAGAATCTGAGCTCTGTAATTTACCTATTGGCCATAGTAGCTATCGATATATGCTTCTAATAAACTATTGAAACTGAAAGGCGACCTGTACAATTATCTAATTGGCGATAAGTGATTAAGATGAGTAGATGTCGGATTTTACAGATTTTTAAGAGTGTCGGGACCATTGATTAGTGCCGTAATTAGGAATATACAGAGTGTCGTAGTACCTTTTAAATCTCAAATTGTACTTGAAGATTGGAAATATAACAGACTCATTGCTTTATTATTTGAAACATAAGTCAGTCATGGTTATTGGTGGTGATAAATGATAGAACACAGCAGACTTGTGACGTAATAGAAACCATTGAAATTGACAGAATTTCCCCTACAGACTCTGCCACGACGTACTAATGATGGAATCAGAAGCCGTGTTTAGAGTGAAAAGTAAATATAGTTGTCAGTTTACTTCTGAATTCGACCAGTTTCTATCTGTAGGCTGTCAAACTTGATATCATTCTGTCGTTTTCAAACCAGAATTGAACACCAGAGAACTCTTTGTGCATTCAAATGACACACTTGTTTACAATTGTCGACATTCTCGATTTTGATTTAGCATGTTTAGTTCACTTGTACTACTGTAGTTGAAGGAAATGGACATCATAGATCTGTCTCTGATTGTAAAAAAATGATGGAAACAAAGTAAATGTCGCTCGAGTTTGGAAATCAAGCAATATTTTAAGTGCATGATTACGAGTATCACATGGGGTGTCATTCAGCCCAACTTTTTCCACCATTGGACACCCACCAAGAACTTGACATGTTGACACTTTTATAGTAGGATTTTGTTTATAATACAGCAATACATTTTGAGAATTGTTTGAACCTGGGCTTGAAATCGGAACAAAAATGGGTAGCCTACTAGGTGGAAAAGTTGAGGGCAAGTGTTTCATGTCACAGAATTAATGTTGTATATCGTCTCTCGATTTTCGTCTTTCTTCTATCTCATCCGATGCCAGCGGCCTACCTTGAAAGTTGCGCTTGTCCTCTGCAACAAATTCAGCTCTACAGAAACTGTTAAGGATTGACGAAAGCATTCGATGTTGACCATTCCACGAGAGTCAAGAGTGGACGACAAATGATACATAATTATATTTAACTAGTAACTTCAATGAGTTATTCAAATTTTCGCCACGCCTCTTTAAATCTTACTGATCTGGAAAATTATTCGTCATGAAATTTGAGGATTTATTATGGTTGAGACATAGCAGGGGGTATAATAACATGTCAACATGAGTGATTTAAGTTTTTTTTAGTATTAGATAAATAAAGCCTAGTGCCTGTGGTAAAATAAGACAGAGGTGTTATATAGTTCACTATAATGTTTTATAATTTTAGATAATTACAACAATTACCAATAAGGTCATTAAATCGAACACATATTGCGCAGTACATGGGCTTAAATGGAAAACGCAGAAAACAAATTACAAACACAATTCTGCCTTTTTATGCTACTTAGTCCAGGAGTAACCAGGTAGGGAACTTCAGAAGTTCGTATATATCAAATATTTACGGAACTGAAGTTGTGTAATATCATTTGAAAATTCACCATTAGTATAGTGAGATACAACCAGTTCAATGTATGCCCGACCACACAAATCTGCCCAGATACAGATTTGTCATACGTTTGATCTGAAAGTGGTGTTCCTCAGTTTATTTTACATGCAAACTTATGCTTACCGATAAAAAAGTCATTATACGAATAATTCAAATATTATTAAGGTCAATTTAATTTTATAATATATTAATCTTATCTTAATTCTTTACAAATCCTTTTAGGACTAATTGTGATTGACTATGGTGATTTCATTTAACAAAGAATAATGAACGTACACGATTTAAAGTCAAAGGTAGAAGAGCCTGTCATGGAAATTTTTGGGGCCCCCTTAAGCAATGTTAACAAATCTTTCAGATTTTTTTGTAGCCCCCGAAAGCAAGTTCAAAACCTTTCAGACTTCGTTAAGCAATGGTTCCCAACCGTTCAGATTTTCTGGTGTCCTAAAGCAATGGTTCCCAACCTTTCAAGCTTTTTCGAGCTCTTCCTTTATGCAACTTCCTAAAGCAATGGTTCCCAACCGTTCAGACTTTTTGGAACCCTCTAAAGCAATGGTTCCCAATCGTTCAGATTTTATGGTTCTTCCTAAAGCAATGTTTCCCAGACTTTTCAGACTTTATGGTTGTTCCTAAAGCAATGGTTCCCAAACGTTCAGACTTTCTGGTTCTTCCTAAAGCAATGGTTCTCAACCGTTCAGATTTTCTGATTCTTTCTAAAGCAATGGTTCCAAACCGTTTAGTCTTTCTGATTCTTCCTAAAGGAATGGTTCCCAACCTTTCAGACTTTTTGGAGCTTCCAAAATCAAAACAGCACCGTTTGACAATTTCCCGGACGCACTAAAATACAGACAAAGCAAAATGTAGACTAATAGTCTATTTATCCGATCGTTGAAAAGATCGAAAACAAAAACCTTATCCACTTATTTCTCCTAATAAAATAATGTACAATCAGTGATTTCTGAAGGGAAAATTGACGAAATAATTTCAAGCTTCAACACATTTGTTAGATATAATTGGTTCATCTATTTCCGCCTTTTCTGCTTCGTCTCAGATTCTGAATAATGTTTTGATTGAATTTTAAACTTACATTAATCGGAATTTGGAATTTAACCATACTAGTATAAATTTCACAGATTGTATCATATCAAAAAAAGTTCATGTTGGGTTTGTAAATTACAGCATTCTGTTGTCTGAAATCACGTAAAATGCCTAACGAATTGCTTGAAGTGGTCCTCACACCATTCACAAGTATGGTTGCGAATAAGAATAGAGGTTGTAAGTTTTGAACACAACCCCCATGCTATGCATGTATGAGTTGCGTTAACTGCGTTAGTTCTGTTCGTGGTTTACTAAAAAAAAAATTAACGTTAACGTTGACCTTCTATTGAATTATACCATTATTCAAAGAAGGTTTGCCAAATTCAGGACGATAACTATAATTCAGAAACCTATGAACGCTCCACTCCACTTTATGCATTCATTTATCATATTACATCTGATCATCAAGGGCATTAATTCAAAAATATGTAGCTCTACATATTGCAAACATCGAATTCAAGCGAGTCCTCACGAACACTATTTTCTATGCTGATCAAATCGATAAAAGATGGCCGATTCCATCAAATTACAACTCCATCCTTGAGTAAATCTTTTGATCACTAGAACTAACAGAATATAAACAAGTCGGTTGGGAACTGCCAAATCTTTTTCTGAGGAATTGATTCAATAACAGTATAACGACGACTCGATAAACATAGTTTCAGTGATTTTCAATAGTACTAATGATTTGTACTGAATCTAATTTTATCTCTTACTTTTCTCTACCATTCAGTTTGCTGATTAAATGAATTGCCTCGTGGGGTATAAACAAATTATTTTGAGAGCTCTAAGGTGTTTAGTTTTCAGATATATATATGCGACGATGTATGAGGGTGTAAGAATAGGAATGTCCAAACAATTGAAAATACAAGAACCGAAAACTTGTTCGTGCACGATGCAGACACGATTCGCCGCTCTTATTTGATTCCATATTGATTGACCCGATTATTCGGACGTAAGTTTTACAATGAGTGTCGAAGGGGATACTCGAGATGGTTCTAATAAAACTCCAAACAATTGTCTTAGGTTTTTTAAATACAATTCTATAAATCAAAATAAAATGACTCTAATCCTCTTCCAATAGCATTTTCACCATTTCAGGTTTAGCACATTGTGCTTCTTCTAACCTCTGCGGCTGAAACAGAAAGAAGATTCGAATTTCCAACATAGAAAGGAATTTGAACAAGTCTTTCAACAAGAAAAATGATTGTACAAGTAAGAAAGTTTTCAATTAACCACGAAATTCAACGCTGGTATAAGGGAGTTAACTCCATTTACAGCAATAAAACCAGACAACACTTATTTTCTTATACTCTTTAAATAACACTTATACTCTTACTGCTACTTACATGTCCGATTTTTAGTAATGTGGGAACCGACTTTAATTTCAACACAGGATCTTTTCTAAATACATTATTTTGATCTTTCCAGCTGAAAAGAAAACAAAATGAAAGGTGTTAGTTCAAGGCCAAAACACCATCTCCCTTCCAAACTATGCATATCAAATTTATGTCACAGATTGGTTAAGAGTAATCATTCTTAGGAGGTCTGAGAATATCTATTCTGGTATGAAACTCTATGTAGTGTTTTCCCTGGAATATTTCTACCACAACTTGGAAATTGGAAACACTATTGATTGGATGTAGATGCACAATTTGTTGGAGGCATTAAGCATGGGGTCAAAGTATGCCAAGGGGTTAATGTTTACACCAAATTGATTATCGAAATACGAAAATACTTACAAATCTCTACCTCCGACACCACAATGGATGAAAACTGAATCTTTAGGGGCGTGCTTCAAGTTATCAGCGATAACTGGGGCAGCTGAAATAAAAAAAAAACTTCAAAGAATGTGTGTATAATAGATCTACTATCGGCACTGACATCAAAAAGAGCAGGCTAATGCCGCTGTCCTGGCAAAATTGCCCACATGGTGGAGAAAAGTAGGAAGTAAAACTCCATTCATTTCATTTCAATAGTGACCTTGAAGAAACTCAATCTGTGGTAAATATCTCCTACCCCACTACTACGACTTTGGTGACAGCTTTATGTTTCTGTACAGTATAGATGAAATACCTGTTACACAGTCCGGGCACCAACTTTCACCATTAGCATTAACAGAGCCACAGAATAAGGCAAAAACTAATTTCGATTTATTCTCCTCAGCTGCTTTTTTGTAGGCTTCATATCCTTCAACAGAGACTTCAGCAACCATTTTTAAGTTTTTAGTGATTACACAAAGTCCGAACACTAGATCTACCAAGTGTCTATAAATATTACTAAAATTGACAGGTTAAGAGGATAAAAATATGCAATATTTACAATTTACTATCCTAAACACACTTAACCATGCGTTTGCCACGCCCACATAATTTTACCAACCGATAAATCAGAGTTTGAAAATGAAGTATAGTAAATGAGATGACAAATTGATTATCTTTCCTCTGTTCTCAGAAATATCTGCCTAATGTTCTTTTCAGATTGATCTACCGCACATGTTTTTGGTACTGTGCATGAAGATGGAAATATGAATCAATGATTTATCGATTTGTTTCTAAACCGGAAGCTGAAGATTTTTTAAATGAAAGTAGATTTCGCCTGTGATCATAAATACAACTCCACGCCTGTGATTCAAAGTTATTCTTCTTCAAATTTTGTTTAATATTAAATAGTGAGAATGATTAAGCCTTAAGTCTAAAGGCTAATGAATCAAATATTTTGAGGAGCGAAAAAAATGGACAGACCGAAATGCAAACTAAGATTGTAATTCCCATCTCCTCTCTGTAAAAAGTACACGGACACGGAATTTATTGTCATTGTTTGGCTATTATTCTAATCGGTGAAAATATATCTTTGATAGCAGTAGCTGACAGGGCTGAAGTTCTATTTAGATAGTAAGCCAGATGATTGCTTCAAGGCTTGAATCAAGTAGGCTTATCTCAGTGTACTAGTCTTTCAAAATTAAAATAGTGTATTCGTCTTATGCCTGTTACTCATTGTACATCTCTGTTACTCATTGTACATCTCTCTTACTCATTGTACATCTCTCTTACTCATTGTACATCGCCCTTACTCATCTTACATCGCTCTTACTCATCGTACATCTCTCTTACTCACCGTACATCTCTCTTACTCATTGCACATCTCTCTTACTCATCATACATCTCTCTTACTCATTGTACATCTCTCTTACTCATTGTACATCTCTCTTACTCATCGTAGCCTACATCGCTCTTACTCATTGTACATATATCTTGCTCATTGTACATCTCTCTTACTCATTGTACATTGCTCTTACTCATTGTACATCTCTCTTACTCATTGTACATCTCTCTTACTCATTGTAGCCTACATCGCTCTTACTCATTGTACATATATCTTGCTCATTGTACATCTCTCTTACTCATTGTACATCGCTCTTACTCATTGTATATATATCTTACTCATTGCACATCTCTCTATAAAGACATACCAAACATTTTAGTTTTGCACACTGCTAGCTGCAAAGTACTTTTTGAGGTTGGGCCATAAAAGGACCTATTTAAAATTTTAATCATATAATATCTTACACTTACACTTTTTCTCATTCATAATACTGAATCATTTAAGTGTCACTTAATTTACTTTATGTATAGTGGTAAATCATCCCCTACATATAAAGAGCACTACTACTGTTAGATACTATGTTAATAATATACAGTCATCTACAAAATTCAATACGCAAAATTCAGTAATTTGTATTGGGCTAATTCTTTTCAGGCTGAAACAGAAATATGGATGAAGAGGATATCACAGATAATATTTTCTGTCCTGCTTGTTCTAGTCTACTAACAGTCCCTTACATCAGGTGTACAGAATGTTTACAGCCTGATGTTTACATCTGTTTAAATTGTTTTGCAAAAGGTGTTGAATTCAAGTCACATCAAAATAACCATTGTTATAGTCTTATTGTAAGTTTTAATGTTAAATTTTCAAATTTGCTCTTGTCATGCCAACAGGTTATAAAATACATAAATAAACCTTCACTTTGTGTATGGATACTTTATGTATGGATACTTTATGTATGGATATAATTAAGCTTCTCTGAATTTGTCTTTCTAAAAATGAAAGTAGCTACAGATGGAATCGCTCACAACTTTTCATAAGGATCAGCTTTTTTCACCAAGACAGTAAGTTTCCGGTATTCTTCAAGAAAGTTAATAAACCCTAGGCCTCTGCCATTATTAAGAAGATTAGTGATAAATGATATTTTTCATGTTCAGAGAAAAGATTTTCCATTATTTGAAGATAAATGGACGGCAGTAGACGAATGTAATTTATTAAAAGCTATAGAAGAATTTGGTTATGGGAATTGGTAAGTAGGTATTGTGTAAGAATGTTGGAACACAAAAGCAGCAGTGGGTTCTTATTTCAGTCAGCGTGTGAAAGTCTGGTCATCTTCCCTCATTATTCCAGTCAACGCAGCTGAAATTTGGTGTGGATAATCAGTAAAAGAATGGCAAGAGGTTTGGCCAATGTCCAACTGGTAGAAAGGATCCTAATTGAATTTAAGTTGTTATCCTTGTAAAATATAGTGCAGGACTGTAATTTTTTTGATATTTTTGACAGGAAAGAAATCAGTGAACATGTTAAGAGTAAATCAACTATTGAATGTGAAAGACATTATGATAAATATTATATTGAAAATCCTTCAGATGAAATGCCAGGTGAGGTCATAGTCTTTTCTTTATCCAATTCTTGTTCTTCTTTGTCTAAAATAGCTCAGGATTGACAGACTAAGTAAAGATATATTCTCAAGGTCAGTAAAGACCACTCAAGAGAGCTCCCATAGGTTTTCCAATACCATCTTGAAAAGTAATCTACCTATCAGTTGATCTGACTAGCCAAGTCACCAAATAAGGAATAAAACCAATGGCTATTTTACTAACATGTAATTTCTTTTTGTCAGATTTTCCTGAACCAGATATAGATGTGTTTCCTTCTCCTATAGTATTCAAATGTAAGTAGCTTAATATTATCAGTTAGTAAATTTTTTATTATTTTTTTTTGATCCATACATCTTCCCAATACAAGTTGGTCAGAAGATAACAGCAGTTTCCGGTAGATGGACATTGATAATGGGTTGACAAAACATTTCTCACTGTGATTTTATGCTGTTTGGCATTATGGACATTTGGAATGTTTCATTTCTTATATTATTATTGCATTAAAAAGCAAAGCACTAACTTTTCATTGTAGTAAGTGAAGACCCACCATGTCCACCAGAAGGATCTAGTATATATAATGATATGGGTGGTTATTGTTATAATATCTTTATTTGTAGTAAGTGAAGACCCACCACGTCCACCAGAAGGATCTAGTATATATAATGATATGGGTGGTTATTGTGCAGCTAGAGGTGATTTTACTGTAGAATATGACAACTATTCAGAATCTACTATCTGTAATATTGATGTTGATGAATATCCAGAAGAAGATGATGACACACCTGTTCCTGTAGATGAAGATCTCTCTAATGGTATGTTAATCAGTATACTGCATGTTGGACTTATTCTTTATCATGAAACGTTTCTTGTCATGCTTCAATATTATGTGGTTTATCATGTGGAATGTATTCAGAAATAGCATGCAAAATATAAACCTTGCACTTTCATTCCATAGGAGACCATAGGCTGTTCATTAACCATAGTATATCATTAATACGACATACCAGATTGTATGTACATTTACCAGATTTCTATAAAAAATACTCATTTCTTTGATACTGTATATTTTCTATTAACAGAATTAATATATGCTGCAGCCAATATTTATAATTCAAGTTTAAAGGAAAGGGATAGAAGAAAAAAGTAAGTGTTGCTAAACTGGTTAAAAAGAAAAGTATTAATCAAACTGTAAAGATTTAAATATTATTTGTGATACAATGACATTATTGTGTTAAAATGATATTCTGTTGGATAACAATGATATTCTGTTGGATAACAATGATATTCGTTAGAATAACAATTATTATTTTCTTATTTTGTTTTAGACAACCAAAATAACCATGATTTCCATTTGGATGTCAAAGATACTTTTAGGATAACAATGATATTGTGATATTATTCTGTAGGATAACAATGACGTTTATGCAGGATAACAATGTTTATGTAGGATAACAATGATATTTATAACAATGGTATTTATGTAGTATAACAATGTTTATGTAGGATAATGATATTTATTGCATTTTTCCAGAATCGTACGAGATTATGGTTTAATTAGTATGAGTAAAGTAAACAGTAAGTCTATTTATCATTATATAATATATTTTGGTCTTGCTTTGGATGAGATTTTTGGTTCATGGAATTGTCTTCTGTGTGCAGATTTTTTAATACATTTGAAGTCAATTATAGACCCATTTACTACAAATTACCCCATCATTCCATTATCTGTATATTTTCTTTAGAATGCATTCAAAGATGGAAGGCTTATATCTATATTTTCTGTATTTTAGGTATTAATAAAAGATACAGTAAGACTATATATCTGTATTTTAGGTATTAATAAAAGATACAGTAAGACTATATATCTGTATTTTAGGTATTAATAAAGATACAGTAAGACTATATATCTGTATTTTAGGTATTAATAAAGATACAGTAAGGCTATATATCTGTATTTTAGGTATTAATAAAAGATACAGTAAGACTATATTTCTGTATTTTAGGTATTAATAACAGATACAGTAAGACTATATTTCTGTATTTTAGGTATTAATAAAAGATACAGTAAGACTATATTTTCTGTATTTTAGGTATTAATAAAAGATACAGTAAGACTATATTTCTGTATTTTAGGTATTAATAAAAGATACAGTAAGACTATATATCTGTATTTTAGGTATTAATAAAGATACAGTAAGGCTATATATCTGTATTTTAGGTATTAATAAAAGATACAGTAAGACTATATATCTGTATTTTAGGTATTAATAAAAGATACAGTAAGACTATATTTCTGTATTTTAGGTATTAATAAAAGATACAGTAAGACTATATATCTGTATTTTAGGTATTAATAAAAGATACAGTAAGACTATATATCTGTATTTTAGGTATTAATAAAAGATACAGTAAGACTATATTTCTGTATTTTAGGTATTAATAAAAGATACAGTAAGACTATATATTTGTATTTTAGGTATTAATAAAAGATACAGTAAGACTATATATCTGTATTTTAGGTATTAATAAAAGATACAGTAAGACTATATATCTGTATTTTAGGTATTAATAAAAGATACAGTAAGACTATATATCTGTATTTTAAGTATTAATAAAAGATACAGTAAGACTATATATCTGTATTTTAGGTATTAATAAAAGATACAGTAAAACAATATATCAGTGGTTAGATGGGTTACGTGTATATTGTACACTATTTAATCCTATTGAATATGATCAGTTGTTAGAATCACTACATTGTAAGTACTTAAATCATTGTAAGGTGTTTTCCTCATCTTAAATCACTCCAAATTAACAAAAATGATATTGTATTTAAAAACAGAATAAAATGGAAAGAAAAAGAAAAGGGATAATACCATTTGGTTTTACAGAATTTGTATTTAAAGGGATTGTAAAGAGGTTTTCTAAACTTTACATGTGTATCAGGGACATTGATTCCAATTTTCATTCAGATGTCCACAGGTCTTCTCATTACACTAAAACTAACCAGTTAATGGCATTGCTATTACAAAAGCCCTTAGATATTATAAGCAGCTTCATATATAAGATTCAGAATTTTCCACAGACATCTGACAATATAAATAGGAATTGTTGTAAAATGGTTTTATTTTCTAAAGATGAACAAGAATTGAAGAATGATATAAAGAAGTTAAAAGAGTATAGACAAAATGGACTAACTGAATTAAGAAATATCAGACTATATAAATGTATGAAGAAAAGAAGGGAGATAACTAAAAATAGACGCCATTTTCTTTCTGATCTTATAAACCATGTACAGGTGAGTGATAGCTCAACTTAACTCTTTTATTTGAGAGTAGCTCAACTTAAGCCATTCATAGCAATTAGCAAATTAAGGAATATAGCCCAAGGGGAAGGCTACGTTAAACTTTAGGGTGTTATTACAGCTAAGATTGATATACGTCACCACAGATCTTTTCCAAGGATATACTAGTCTAGTCAATCTCCCCTGCAGCCAGAAAAGGAGTAAATGTAGGCCAGACAGGGGGTCTAAGGTAGTATCTATCTAATCTAACCCCATTTGATATTTTTATAGGGTCATGAATCTTTATAATTGAGCTCTATGAGCTTGCAAAGCCAATAGTTCAACCGTTAAAATTATTATTATTATATAGGATGAAGAAGCATGTATATCTTGGTTACAGAAACAAGCTGTAGCTAATAATAGATCTACCTCTATTTTACCACTACCTCAATTACGTAAGTCGTTCTTATTGAATTTTCTAAAGCATTTGAATTGTAATATTTCCTAAAGTGAATGGAGCCTTGTTGGCTCAGTGACTTGTAAACAGGAAGGTCCAGGGGTAAATCACAGTACAGGTCGAAATCAAAATAATATCCCCTGTCAGTATTGTAGGTGTTACATGCACACTGCGTGATGAATGCCCAATAAGGTGCAGAATCAAAGGACATAGAACTCCATTCATTTCATACCATTTGAGTCAGGACTAATAAGACAAATAATGAGCAACAGTTATAGCCTAATGAATAATATCTATGAAAAAATTGATAGTATTTTTATTGTATTGACATATTCATAATTTGTGAAATGTTTTTTTTTTATCAGTATTTGATCTTTCGTGTTTTCTAGAGAGAAGAACTCCACAACCACTAGATATAACAAGTTATCCAAGTTTTGATAAACTTTCTGCCACAGAAAAAGAGGTAATTAAGAATATCACTAAATATTCAACTGATAAAGCAGCACAGGATCATCACTAAAGCATGAGCTATGGACTGAGAATCCATCCGTGGGCTGGTCTGCAATTTTTATAGTTTAAATTTGTCTCAATTTTTTCATAGCTCTTGTACTATGTTCCAATGTTATCAGAAATTTTCAAACCGTCTTCATACGCATATTTATGAGATCACCTCAATTTTTTATTTTATCAATTCATTTATGTCAATTTATGGAAGAAGTCAAATTTCATGTCAAAAGGTGATAAGATAGGGTTGAGTGAGCTGATTAAATAAAACCTAGCACCAATGGTGATGCAAACTCATCATTATAAATTAGAAATAAATTATCATGATTCCCATAGCCTCATCTATAGAAGATGTAAGAGCTTGATGCAATCTTCATTTACGTGATAAAAGGGTTCTAAAATTACAACCCTGAATATAATTTTTTTCAGGTTTGTTCCTATGCAAGACTTTTACCAGAAGCTTTCATGGAATTCAAAAGGATTTTAATAAAAGAAAGTGAAAAGAACAATGGAATATTAAGATTGGCTCATGCTAGATCATTGATCAAAATAGATGTCAACAAAACCAGAAAAATTTATGACCATTTACTGAATGAAGGTTTAGTGAATAAAGAGTGATGATACATTTGAGCTAGTAGACTCACCCTCATGTGATGAGAACAGTGACTCGGTCAGTAGTGGTACTTTTAAGTTAGTAGACCAACCCTTATAGGAATAGGACAGTGATAAAGCTCTGTCAGTCGTGTTACATTTGAGTAAATAGACCCACTCTTGTGTGGGGACACACAGTGACCATACTTTTGAGTTAATAGCCTCAAACTTATAAGAATAGAACAGTGAGAAAGCTCAGTTAGTAGTGATACATTTGAGTTAATAGACCCACCCTCATAAGAATAGGACAGTGACACATCTCGGTCAATTGTGATACATTTGAGTTAAGAGACCCACCCTTGTGTGAATATGACAGCTAAAAATATTCAGTCATAATTAGGCTAGTGAGAAAGCTTTGTAGGTATTAATGGTAGTGTCCAACCAGGCTTTGACATTGTTAAGACGTCAGCGCTATGCTAAACCTTTTATGCCATCTATCCAGTTTTATGTTGACAAATGGAATATTTCATTGTAGACTACAATCACACTTGTATAAACTATTTGTGTTCAGGGGTATTTCATACTGCAGACATATGTTTTGGGAATAACATCCACATTGGTAAAGGTAGTTTTGGAATTGTACGTTAACGATAGATAAATATTCTATAAAGATAATGACCAGGAGAGAAACAGATGATACTGTGCCCAGTACTTTGGTCCAACTAGCTTTACTCAGAATGTTTCACTGTACAGATAATCTACTGTAACAAATAACTTCCTTTATAGCAAACACTTTTAATCATGTATAAACTATATTTACATCATACATGTACCCATAACAATATACAATACTATATTCAGTATGCAAAAACTATTTACAATACTGTAATACAATACAATACAATACAATACAATACAATACAATACAATACAATACAATACAATACAATACAATACAATACAATACAATACAATACTTATCTCGTTTCTCTTAAAATTGTCTCCCGTCTTCATTAGCCCACATGGTGCAGAAAAGTAGGACATTAAACTCCATTCATTCATTTCATTTCTTATAATTGTCTAAAAAGGAGTTTAAATTTCTGATTCTTTGACGCTCTTTGTAGTTCCCCTTTGCTTGTGCTAACTTAGCTGTCCAGAGATTTTTCAATTTTTGCATGAAGTCTTTTTTTTGTTCCTCAATCTCCTCAAATACTTCGCTTGATCTAGCCTCCATTATTGCTGTTTCCATTTTTCTTCAGTGTTCTTTTGGACAGTTGAAAAACATTGGACTTTTTATCACGGCATTCCTTCTTGAACCCTTCTATAGCATTGTTATTTTTACTTTGACAATAATGCTTCATTCCATTGCTTTTGGACTCGACATCATCTTCCATTGCACTACTGTTTCTTGACTTATTGGTGCCTCCTGATTTCCAGTTACCTTAACTCTGGATATACATGTACTTCTTTCTTTCCTGATCCCATTACATCTTCTTCTTCTGAAATTCCATGTGTGTTATCTCTATTTTGGTCTTCTGCTTCTTCATCCACATTTCTTGCCACTGAAGTATGGAGCTTCGTGGCGTCGATGGCTTCTCGTTTCCTAACATTTTTTGTCTTCTAACCTCATCCTTCGCTCCTTTGTCTTCATCTTTTACTGGATTCTCTATCATGCCACCATTGCTCATCCTTTGCTTATCAACCTAGACGGAGGTTTCCTTATATGATAGAGGATCTTCAAACATAGTCCTTGGTCGTTGGGGTGATATTCACAACTTCGCAGGTTGCTTTTGCAGTATTTTCTTCCACTTTGTAGTCTGCTGATTTCTCTCTCTTTTTAAGGCCGCTAGCTTCATCCGTTTTCTCCTCACACCTAAAATACGGCTTTTAATGCTCCTTCTCTTCCCTTTTGGTTCTATCATCAGCCATGACAGCTTTGGGATATAAACACCATTTACAATTGTGTGCTCAACACCATTTTCACCAACGCCGCGAATCACCTGTCTTTCAGCATTGATGGTGTTTCTGTAAGTCTTCCACTGTCAGGACTGGTTTGACGTATGTTATATGGTCTTTCTCTTGCAGTACCTCGTCTCAATAATTCCTTCTCTTCTCACCACCTGACTTTTTTATACGATGTACATGTTTTCTGCATTTGTGCTTTTGTCCTCCTGTGTTTCTTCTTCTTCTTGGTCCCTTTTGGAAGAAGGCTTGGATTGTGCTGCTCTGGAAGACATTGATTCATAGGATTTCCAGTTTTGTTCTCTTCCTCTTTTGCATTAATTGATGGGTGAATTGATGATAGAGTTCTTCGACCTTCCTCCTTTGTATATTTTTTCATTTGAATCTTCGTCTGCACTTACTTTTGCTGTCCAGTGATATGGAATTCTTTGAGATAAGATAGTTTTTAAAGTCCTTTAATTTTTGTTCGAATCCTTTTTTCTCTTCCTTGATCTTATCAAATACCTCACTAGATCCAGTCTCTTTAATAACTGCTTCCATCTTTTCCTCGGCTGCTGTATTTAGTTGCAGTGTTCTTTTGGACAGCTGAAAAAGCTGATCAAGCTATGAAAACAGGGTAATCTGTATGTTGAACATTTTCATTACTGTACTATTTATCAGGGTATGCCTTCTTGAACCCTTTTATGGCAGTTATTTTTACTTTTACCATCAACTACTATTGTACCTTTTTAAGTTAAGAAAGCCTCCTGATTTCCAGTTGCCTTAACTCTGGAGTTATATCTTTTTTTCTCGTCTTGCTCTCCTGATCTCCTAACATCATCTTCTCCTGGAATCTTCCTCTCCTCCTCTGCTTCTACATCCACATTTCTTGCCACTGAAAATCTTTATAATACCTGTCGACTACATGAGCATGAAGAGAATGAAGTTTCGAGGGGTCGATGGCTTCTCGTTTTCTTTCATATTTGGACCATTGGCTCTCTTTTTCAGGATATCTTTTATCCTTTTATCGCTCCTTTGTCCTCTTTTCCTAGATTACCTCTCATACTCATCCTTTGTTCATCAACAACCTCTTCAGAGGTTTCCTTATGCGTTTTCCTCGTCGATTGGCCAGCCTCTCTCCTTGGTGTGATATTCACAACTTCGCAAGTAGGTGGCTTGTAAGGAATTTCTTCCACTTTTGGTAGCTGATTTCTTTCTCTTTCTAAAGCCGCTAGCTTCATCCGTTTTCTCCTGACACTTAAAATACGGCTTTTATTGCTCCTTCTCTTCTCTTTTGAATATTCTGGAACTGGCTTATCAGCCTCATCCAGCCATGACAGATCTAGCTTTGGGATATAAACTCCGTTTACAATTATTGTGTACTCAACACCATTTTCATCAAAGCCGCGAGGCACCTCTCTTTCATCATTGTTGGTGCTTCTGACCTTTTCTCGCTTTTGCAGATACTTTCTCAGTCGAATCTTTGGATGGAACCCTTGAACTAGTAGATTGGAGTAGGGTTCTATGGATGTGGCATGTTTAACATCATTTGACGTTGGTTGGTTAACTGTATTAACTGTTGGATGATGGTAATTTTCGACGGTATTTACACATGTATATTATATGAGGTTTACATGTTACATAGAATATTACCTCTTAAGGTACTTTGCGCGAAAATGTCCGCTTTTACAAATATTTGATTTGAGTTGGATTACTCAAGTAAGTCAGTTCTTTTGACAAGGAAATTATACATGTTGTGTATGACTGATGTTAAAAGATATGGCGACATAACATCACCTTGTCTTACTCCTTGTTAGAACAATAAACCTTGTCGTATTTACTCTAATTAATGACTTTGTTCTACATGATTGGGTTGACAAGGGAAATAGATGATTACGGACATATAGCAAGGATGGATGTAAGACAGACGGACGTGGGTAGAGACACACCTTAGAAGAAAAGTTAAAAATGCCTCTAAACAAATTTACATATTTTAATGTATTTGATAATTTTCTATTTTATTTTATGTGAATAATTGTTATAAAAAAGGATAGTGTTTTACGCCTTCGGCGATATATTTGAGTTTATTTTAGTGCGTTAGGTAAAGTGGTTTTAAAGACAAGAGATAATACACAGGGGATCAAACGATGAATATGGCAAAATGGTTGTCTCTATTATGTGTTTTTCTTTACTGTGTGAACTTTTCGGAAAGTGCTTCCATTTCAGAACAGAATAAAAACAGTACTTGTATACAAGGATTAACGTGTAAATTACCAAATTGTTTCTGTTTAGGACAAAAGGATCCGCCTGGAAATTTAACTATCTCTGAAATTCCTCAGCTTGTTGTTTTGGCATTTAATGATGCCGTAAATATTCAAAATTATGGATATTACTTGAAGTTATTCAACCAGACGAGAAAGAATGGCAATGGCTGTCCGATAAAGATGACGATGTTTGTACAAGATTTGTATACAAATTACACAATGGTCAAGGATTTATACAAAAGAGGTATGGAAATGGCGTCCCATAGCATCACCCATAAACTTCCCATATCATTTTGGCAAGAAGCAACCAAAAAAGAAATATCGTATGAGATCCTAGAACAGAAATCCAGACTAGTTGAAAAGGCGGGAATTCCAAGTAAAGAAATCCGCGGATGGAGAAGTCCCTATCTACAGCCTTCTGGTGATAACCAATTCTCTGTATTGGACAAGAACAATTTTGAATATGATGCTAGTTTAAGCATTCAACGGAGAAAGCTTGACGAAGAACTATTTTGGCCTGGAACTTTACATTATAAATGGTCCTACAAGTGTGACAAATGGCCATGTCCAGAGAAGAACTATTCCATGTGGGAAGTACCTGTGGTGTCGTTAGTGGACCAGGATGGATTGTATCCCTGTTCCTATGTGGATTCCTGCATCAATCTTCCGAAAAACGAAGAAGCAGCTTTCCAACTATTGTGGAAGAATTTCAACAGTTACTATCGTACCAACAAAACACCATTCATTGTTAATATCCATGCTCGATGGCTGAATACAGATTTCCAGATGGTTGCCATGGAAAGGTTTATTATGTCTTTATTAGGTATGGATGATGTCTATATTGTTACGATGCATCAAATGTTAGAATGGATGCGGAATCCTGTGAATCTGACGGATATTTTACATTATGAAGCCTGGAAGTGTCCTGAATATTCAGGCTCGATGATAAATTCTATGAATATAATCCTAATGTTTTCTAGTTTGTCTGTCATAACCTTGTTCAATTATTTCTCTAAATAGATTTCTTTATGTGATTATATTGATATATTATTTTTTTTTCCTTTTTTGATTTACTAATTTTATTAACTTCTGCAAATGGATGGAAGTCCATGGCTAAGGTGCAGGTTTGTCAAGAAATCGCCCTCGCCTGACCTGTGGTTTCGTCACCAATGTTACAATGTACATTTATTTTTGGTTTTTAACGTCCCTTAATAAACAAAAGAAGAACGAATTTCTATAAATTATCAGTTAGTGGAAAGCTAATATGAGCTTAAATCCCTCTATCCCTTCTGGGGTACACAGAATACTTTTGACATATATGATGTGTCAGAAATGCTCCAGGGATGGTGTCACAGTCCAAACTAAAAGTACGAATTTCCCCTTCGAAATATTCCCCTAGCTGGAGTCTAACGCACTTTCCCGGGCTTCGCAGAAAAAAAGTGAAAATATCCTTTGATTCAAACCAACAACGGTCCAAAATATTTTTGCCCAATTTGATAGCAATTGCCTTTGAAAGTCTCTTTAAAAGCTAACTTTAAACATTAAAAAATGAAGAAATGAAATAAAACCATGTGAACAATGGAGATCCAGACAAAAAATATAGCCTACTTCCAACAGGACTAAGTTAAAGGGACAGGTGGACCATTTTTGACCAATCACAGCTCGCCGTCGAAATTTGAGCCTTCAAATCCAGAGTTTGACGAGTCGTCATTTTAACATTCAAACGCAGAAATAATTCTGGACACACATGGATTTGAAGTCTCAAATTTCAGACTAAAGTATGATTGGTCAAAAAATCTGTGATATATAGAAAATACATATATAGAAATAATGAGTAAAAGTCCTTTGAAGTATTTTAAGGGAATTATACGATTTTCGTGTAGCCTACATCAACACTAAAATCAACCCCACATAATGTAACATCTGTCCCTTTAATTATTGGTTATTACACTTTACGTCTTAAAGCAATATGAGCTAGGCGAATTTTAAGTTTGATGTCTACAAACGATTATATAACAGCTCAGAATGTATTTTGCAAACATGAAAATCAACACTATAATATAGTATGCGGAAAGAAAGTGGATTACACCCACCATCGAGGATCTCTGTGGGTGACCTCGATTGAACCTCTGTTGTGGAGCTAGAGTTGATGGAGAAATAACGTAATTATCTTCAGCGAGCAAGCCGGGTGAGGGTCGCAAGGCTCTGGTTAAGGCAATATGGCGCGACTTTTGACCAGATATAGACATTCCATGCTACGATGTTAACTCGTGTCTGACTCTCCAAATAGTGAGTGTCGGACCCGAGCTTCTAACTAGGTCAAATATTAGATTTGAACGACATATATAGGTCAAATATTACGTCACACGAGTCTCAACTCTACAAAATATTACAGTTCGGTTGTTGCTCGAATGACTCGAGTCTAACCCGGGCTCTAATCGTGTTCGAGTCTAGGGAAAGATAACTAGCTTGCATTAAACAGGTGGCGCTCTTTAATCAACAAGAAGGAATTTTCATTAATTCTATGTTTTTTATGAAAAACTAGAAAAATAAACGTTCAAAATGCCGGACAGGGATAGCGAAGTGTTCTCTAACCCCCTGCCGCCTTCGCACCATAAACATGAAGAAGAAGACGACAGCCATCATCTCACGAACGATGATTTTCGTAAGATGATGATGACCCCAAAAGTCTCTGGACTGGGTGGAAGCTATTCAACGTCAACGAAAGAATCCAGCTCGACTGATCGCAAGCTAGAAGCTCACGACGACGAGGACGATGCAGCTACAAGAAGAAAGAAAAAGAAAAGTTATTATGCCAGGTTGAAGAAAGAGGAAGAAGATAGAAAGAAGGAATTGGCCTCAAAATACAGAGACCGTGCATCAGAGAGAAGAGTAGGAAATGATTACAATGACTCTGAGATCAGTACTACAGCTGATTATAGATCAGTGGCACCAGATGCAAAGGCAGAGGAAAATTATGCAGAAAGAAGAAAACAAATGATTCAAGAATCAAAATATCTTGGAGGTGATATGGAACATACCCATTTGGTCAAGGGCTTAGACTATGCATTATTGGAAAAAGTAAGGGCAGAAATCAGTTCTAAAGAAATCGAACAGGAAGAGACAATGGAAGCAGTAGTGGCCAAGGCAGATGAAGAGCATCCCGAACCAGACCCTGAGGAGCAAATTCAATTCAAAACCAAAATGGGGAGAAATGTTTACAGAATTCTTTTCAAGAATAAATTGCCTGATCGTAATGAACTGTTTCTACCAAGACGTATGGCCTATGTTGTGGATTTAGAAGACGAATTTGCAGATTCTGATGTACCAACAACTTTTATTAGAAGTAAGGCCGATTGTCCAACTTTAGAAGCTTCAACTACTTTAACAACTAATGACATTGTTATCAACAAACTGACTCAGATCTTGTCTTATTTACGTCAGGGAAGGAGGGAAAATAAGAAATTGAAGAAAAAAGATAAGGGAAAATTGAAAGATGACGACAAAGGCAGAGAAAAAATGACTGGTGCTGACGACAATATTTATGAAGACATCGGTCAATACCAACCACTCACTAAATCTAAAGACAAGAAAGAAAGAGATCGTGATTATGACAGAGAAAGGGATTACAGAGGTGACAGAGATAGAAAAAAAGATAGAGATAGACGAGATAGAGATAGGGATCGTGATGAAAGGGACTACAGAGACAGAGATGGTAGAGACAGAAGGGATCGTGATAGAGATATTCGTGATAAAGACAGAGAACGAGACAGAGGTAGAGATGGTCGTGATAGAAATGAGAGGGACAGTGGTCGAGACAGAGATCGTGATAGACGAGATGGCAGAGATAGAGGAAGAGAAAGGGAGAAGGAAAGAGGAAGAGAATCTGGTAGAGAGGGACGTAAATCATACTTTGAGAAACCAGTTGAAGAAGACGAAGATCATCACCACAAACATCAACAGACAGCCCGAGAACTGATCAATTCTATCAATGATAAATATAAATCTTATGACCATGGAGAAGAGGAAAAGGGTAAAGGTGGTCGGGAAGGAGGAGATGATCGCGCCAAGAAATTAAAACAAAAAACAGAAATAGACAGTTATGCAGAATGTTACCCTGGTTTAATGGAATCCTATGATGCCTTCGATGATTCTGATGACGATGCTGATTACACTAAGATGGACACAGGAAATAAGAAAGGACCAGTTGGAAGGTGGGACTTTGATACTCAAGAGGAGTACAGTTCATATATGTCAAATAAAGAAGCTTTGCCTAAAGCAGCCTTTCAGTATGGTGTTAAAATGGCTGATGGACGGAGAACGCGAAGAACTGGTCCTAAAGATGAGAAAACCAAGCTAGATCGAGAACTTCAACAGATTAATAGGATCTTAGATAAGAGAAAAGCGTCTGGCAGTGACGGAGGTAGTAAAAAGCCTAAATATTAATATGTGTTAATTACTGTTCATTATAGATAATTTGACAATCACTGCTTTTCTAAATCTACTACAAACTTTCAATTATGAGAAGATTCTCCACTGGAGACAGTGATAATATTGTGTAAGGGTCAAACTGTAAAAAGTTTAGTGTAAAAACTGTTAAAGCTTGGAGAAATTGTTTTTTGACTTTTCAAATGTGAATGAAAATGAGTTGACCAAAAAAGTTTCTGCTGTGTCTGTATTATTTTCTTTCATTTGGAATCTGGAAATGGGTTCTACTAGTTTGGAAAAACACCACTAAAAACTTTTTTAAATTTGATATATTTAGATAGAATGTCATATTTTGATTATGATATAATTAAAGTTCAGACACATGCTTTAAGCTTATGGTGTGATATATTTTCCTAGAAATCTATGTACAAGGAAGGGTTCAGTGTAGAGCTTGGTAAAATGCTCAAAATAATCAAGTATCATTGCTAGGAATTTATGATTTCGATTATCAAATTTCATAAGCGATTATATGTCAAAGTTTTCTCCACTATACCTGTTAACAAGTAGTAATCTCTTCCACATAAGTTCCCTTCAGCACATAACTTACCTACAATATACTATAATTACCGATCAAAAGTTCATTCCAAGAAATTTTGAGGATTGTTGAACGCTTCCACCATGGACTGCTAGTGAACTTTATTTGACTATCGTGGCAGTGCCTTTTATATTCACAGACAGGATTTTTGTCTAAAATTTTGATTGGGTCCTTCAATGGCAAACAGTTATCTCAAATTATCTCTGTCACTTTTCTCTCGACAAAATGTCACAAAAAATTTGAGGACTTGCAACTTTTAGGAGCAGATATTTATATGCCTGTATCCCATTATAATCAATGAACATAAATAAGTTAGAATAATATTTATTTAAACAAATCATAATACAATAATGATACCCAACTATAATAATAAATTTACAATGAGCCATTTACCTGTACCCTCATTCCAATAGGAATGTATCTTCAATGAGCTCCACCAGAAACTTCAAATTTCAATTGCAACTTGTTAAAAATAAAGTCAAAAGAATATTGAAGATTTAGAATGTGTTTTTGTTGGTCTGTTTAATTGCCACTTTGAAACATTGTACATTGGACTACCATGGTCCCAAATCAATTAACTTTATGAGATTTTTGCCAACCAAAGATTGAATCAAATCTGCTATTGATTCAATAATGACTGAACTTGATTCCATTTCTCCTGCAAGATACGTGCTTCATAAAGGCACTTGCAGGATTATCTTTCAAATTATTCCTTTCTAATGTTATGAAAAGCTGGATCAAGCAAGATTTCATCAAAATCATAGACCACAAGTTGCACTTAAGCATAAGTAAATTTAGTTTCAGGTGGGTTAGCTAATTTTGCAACAAAGAAGAATAATATTTAACAGCCAAAAAAGATATATGATTTAAATAAACAAAGTATATCTACACAAGTTTATACATTAATAGATGATTTTTTTATTACAAAAACACCCAGAAAATTTTAGACTATGGAATTAGAAAAACATGAATTAATGTTAATTCTAATAAGTTCCACATTTTCAATGAAATTTTTGGCATTATCCCACTAAATGCCTCAATTACAAGCCTGAATAATACCATTATTGCTTTTACACTGAAAATCAAGACATTTTGGGGTAATGATTACATTCCTCTTTATGCCTAAAAACTTTCATGTTTTGTAAAGTATGTTTCCTACTTGCATTCAAATTCTTTTATTATAAAGCTAATTAGTGGCATAATGCCAAATATTTCCACAACACAACATCAATCTTTTTTTTTTTAATTTTTAAAAAACATTTACTAGTAATTAAGGAAAATATGAAACTTTATCATAAGATTTATTTCAAACAATTCTTAAAAAGTGGATTTGATTTTTAGTTCTCCAGATATGAAATGAAATATTTCTGTTGGCTGATGAAGACCTCCAACACTGAACAGTTGACATTGAGGGCAATTTATCCATTATAGCAGTATCAGAACATGCATAGTCTGTGGTTGAAATATATCCCACAGGATAATTTCAGGAATCTGTCTTTGAAAGCAAAAGATTACTATGATCACAAAACATGATATGAAATCTGAAGAACTAAAAATCCAGTTGGCATGACATTATGTCAAAATTTTTTAGCCCATTTCAAACTTAACAAGTAATAGGTAGGAAGTTGCCAGTATAGCAAAATAAACCTTTATCAGTAAAAATTAACAAAAAGAAAGGGATTTCTATTCTACAAGCACTATTATTGTAAGTTTATTTCATTGTGCCCTATACAAATTTAACTTTTGAAAAGGCACCATTAGTAAGTTTGTCTGCCTAAATTTTAATTTAATAAATTTGTCAAAATTTGACTATATAAGGATTATATTGCACAAGTTATTAGTATCCTTAAGTACCAAAGAAAATGTGATCTTCTTTTTGAAGAATCTAAAAAATGCAATAAGAAAAAGCACTGAACACGGCATCAAAATTTGTCATGTTAAATGATAGTCATACTCTCTCCATCTTATGGAGTAGACAAAGTCATGGAAATACTATTACTAGACATTTCTATAAAATCTCATAGATTTACCATTCATAAAATTTTGAAAAATGTGGTTGGTGTCAAATATCAAACTAATAAAATTATTTTAAATATAATAAAATTTTGAAATGAAAATTGGATTGAGAACATTTCTAACGCACCAACAAATAATACATGGCTAATATTTAATGTCTACTGAATGAAAATATACAAAATGAATTATATACACACAGAGAACAAATAATGGGGTAGAAAATCCAGGACTATATTTCTAATTAATGTTTATGAAGCTGAAACATTTAGAAATGATATTTTTACAAAATAAATGATAAAAACTGAAGAATGCTGAAAAAGGAAACGCAAGAATATAGGCAATCAATGAAATCATCTCTCTAAACATGTACAGGAATAAGAATTTAAATTTTTTTTCTTTAACCATTTTACTGGTCTAACTTAGGACAATAATTTGACCAAATAAAAAATTAGACCCTTATCTTAGTATAGCATCATTTCCATTTCAATCATGGTAGCTTTAAAAACATTTTTTAAAAACTTTTCATCCCTTAAACTGTATTGGCAATAAATAAACAAATTGAATTGATTTTCAAAGACATTTACATTGTTTTGAGCTTATCTCTTAAAAAAGTAAACAGAAAAAAATGTCCTAATGAGCAACTAGACTGTCGGATATTTTGAGCTAAAAGAGAAACATGACTGGCTAATAAGATGCTTAAGACAGACATTGGACTTTAGTCAAGAAAACATTGTTTGGAGTCTGTCATGTGTGTAAGGTGTATGTAATTGCTAACTGATGAAGATGCTGTATGACAATGAGATATATCACCCTTAGTATAACAATAATAATAGAAAGAATACTTATCTAAAATATACTAATATCATTTAATAATAAATATATTGAGCATTAATACTTCAGCTTGATTAAATATTATAGAAAAAGTACCAAAATATGGTGATTTAAAGTTGTGACATGTGGTTCTGAACACAGAATATTGAGACCACTTCACCTTCTGTTAAAAGAGTATAACATCCTCTTAAATACAAGGGAAATGATATATTTTTTCCTTAACTTTTATGATATATCTTACAGATAAAAAAAATGATAAGAAATTGTTTAATAAACAACAACCAAGAATTGATATTGTTATTTATATTAATCATTATTTTTATGAACAATTTCTTAAAAACCATCCTTTTTCATAATATTCGGTCGATTAATTTCAACAAATTAAATATTCATCAATTTCTTTTCTAGATAAAGTGTAAATGGTGATGAAGTTTTCCTAAACATGTGAATGAACTCTCCTGTCATGCAAGCATCTCAATTATTATACATATATTCTTGGACCAGATCAAAATGGTCATAGGGTATAATATATAATCCAGGCACATTACATCATTAGTTTCACAAAATTTCAAGAAATTATCTCTCAACCCAAGTTCAAAATTTATTTAATGATTGACCAATCAAATGATTACAAATGACAGGTCATACTAAATTTACCATAATCAATGAGCTTTAGTTAATAAGTATTAATTTTTAGTTATAACCAAATTCAAATCGTACCAATCAAAACTAAAAATAGCTATAAAAATTTCAATTGCATCAAAAGGGGTTATCATTTTTTAAATAAAAACTTAAATTTTCAAAATGCTATTTCTTTTCCATTATATGCTGCATTATATTTTTAAAATTTACCACCCGAATTTTTATTATCAGTTAAACTATATTCTTAAGTAAGCTGATGACAGTCTATTTCTCCTCGTATTTAAATGATCGGCATAAACAGATACCAAATATAAATCCAATAATCTGAAAATATAGAGTATGAATCATTAATATAACACAATGTAGTAGAACTACAGTACACAAGTTTGAGTAAAATGCTTCATGATTTTCATTCAATGTGCATTTTTTTGGCCATCAAATTTGCGTTATTTTCATAATAAAGTTAAATGTGTTCTGTTGAAGTTATTTTAAAAGAATACGACAGACTGTCTTTAAGAGTTTCAAGCATCCAATTTGGATTAAAAAACAAGGAATCCTAAACTATATGACATTCTCCATTCTTAAAGTAAATTTTGACAGTTATTCCCCCTCATTGCCTGATATTTAGAGAATCATTATAAAGTCAACTAAATTTAATGTTTACCTGTAAACCAGCCAAGCCACATCCCACACCAATCAATATAACAGAATGTGATTTAACCCATTCAATCAATTTCTTTTTACATCCCTAGAAATAAAAAATACAGATAGATATTGTCCAAATACACCAACTTGAGAAAATGACAGAAACATCCACCAAATTTTCAAGACTTAGGACAACTTCAATTCAAAAAAAACTTCCAAATGTGAAAATTTATCACATTAAGTAAGGTGTGCATATAACAACATCAATAACAAAACAACATCAGGGGTCAGTTACGTGGCAGTTCAGAATTTTCTCAACAAAAATAGCATGCATATAAGCTGTCATATGATATTTTTACTACTGTTGTTCAGAATGTCCTCAGACATTTGGTTGCATTTTCTGCATCTTTCGGTTGTTAATTCTGTGGATTTGAAAACCAGGGACATTATCGTCTTTATTCATGTCCTCCATTTTGAAGTGCTAGCAGTCATGTGACAAATCACAGGCGCATTGTCTATGGTGAATCCATACTGACTAAACTAACTAAAGTATGGAATAAGAAAATATCAAACCTCTTCATGGTAATATTCTGGTACTTTATTCATACATTGTGATTTATCTTTAGCCACCATATTGTTTGTATCAGACAATACACAGCATGAGATAGGTATGATTATCTAAATAATAATATTTAATAATAATAAATAACAGTTATACATAAATAAATAAAAACACATAGCTTAATTTGATACACTTCCAAACGAAATCTTGTGAAAATGAACTTTTACATCTTAAATAGCAAAGATATCTTCTAGGTGCACAACCTGTAACACTACGGGTCTCCAGTGATTTCACATCTGCATGATCAGATGCTTTTTCCATATCAGTCCCCCTGAACTGCATCACTGGCAAGGGAAATGGGATTTTAAAAAATCTGTTCACTAATCCACATTATTTGTAATTGATGTCTAGGATACTGAGGCAGAGTCTATCTACTATTTCGTCTAATATTACAAGATAAAGCCTAAGATTTCTAGGCCGTGTTATTCTTTACACCTGCCACTAACATTTCTCCGTTTGAAATTCCACACTTTCAACAATAAATAGGACCATACCTAATGAAAGACTGGAATTGTAAGAATTTCTTGATACTTACTCCAGACATGTTGGTGAATTTACTGTTCATATAATCATCAGGTCCCTTACCACCACAACATTTCAACTGTAAAACACAATAATATAAACTATATAATAATCTTTACAAAATTGTAAACATATTGTAGATCATCTAGTCAGTGTTCCTGACTAAAATGATGTTCCTCCAACATTGGTAAGGAGTCTTGAATTTTGTGATGTGAACATGTTATCGAAAAATTTCAATAAACTTTGAAATCTGCGATACAATAGATCAATGCCTGAATTGATGAAAACCTAAATCCCAACTTATTTTTTAACAGTATTTGTTCATAATAAACAAACAACAACCCTAGGGATTGCTTTCAGCTTAGGCAACCAATAATTGTGCATTGCTCAAGAAATCAATTTAAAAATCAGGAATCTGTTGTGTTTCAATCATTATACAGCTATAGAAAGCAATATCAGAGACCCATTTTCTTCAATCCGTGGACTATCTAGAAATATTACTGTATATTAAATATTATTTAACAGTAACAATGTATCTTGAGTGTGAACTGCAGGTTAACTATGAACAATTGAAATCTACATTACCTCAACTTGAACAGTGTCCCACGATTTGGTGATAGCTGATTCATTAGCAAAAGTATATTCCATCTTAATAGAGTTACTTAACTCCTTGTCCACGCTATGCTCAATCTAAATTTAGAGAGATATTTTATTAAAGAAGTTCAAAAGTATGATTTAATGAAACTTTAGTTGAAGTAACTGACAAAGAAAGCAAGCAGGCCTGCCTTTCAATCACAACAAAGAAACAGTGTATGATTGTGGTACATTGAAATAGGTATATGGATGGGTATTAAAGGGGTAGAGAGCATTTAACAAATTTTGGAATGAACTGGATGGACTTGAACAGTTGACCACTCCTATAGCAAGCAGTAGATAAATTTAAAATAGGCTATTTCTTGTGATTCATATCAAAATTAAAACCATTTCAAACATAATTTACACTTCATTTAGACACCTGACAATTTAGCAAGTCTTACCTCAGTTCTATAAATAGCAACAATGATACCAGCAGCCAATTCTCCAGCGAAAATTATCACCAAGAAAAATAGATACTGAAAACAAAAGTAAGAAAACATGACTTCCTACTCTCTGTTCAATCATTTCAGGTATTTGTAATATTTTGTACTACTTCCAGAAACATAAATGAATTAGAACTGTTGTAGAGAACAAAATGTGAGAAATTCAAATTATTTGCAAAATGGTACTTACAAATCCAATCAGGCATTTACTTCTTCTAATGGCACCACAACATCCAAGGAAACCAATGAGGAAAATCAAAGCTCCGAAAGCAATAAGTATATACGCAGCATAGTTGATGTAAGCATTAGGTACATTATGATTTACAACCTCTAGGTAGGATACAATATTCTTATCAGCTAAAAACCATATACCAACACCTAATAATGCTACTCCAGATAACTACAAAATAACAAATTGGAAATATTATTGAAATACATACATGTTTCACTAAGTCTTGGCTTATTCTCAAAAATTTAAATGGTAAAATCTGATTAATAATAACAGTTATATCTTTATTACAAAAAGTCTTTTAAAATATACCATATATTGTCAATTTGACATTCAACAGTAGTAAAATTTGACATGAGGCCCATATTTCTCAACACCTTTTATGATCAACATTTGACAACCATTTTTTTAAGAAATTGATTACAGCAAAATTTTGATCTTGAAAAAACTAGAAAGAGAACTTCTCTTTATGACAAAAACCACTGGTTGATGAAGATTAATTAATTTCTTAATCAGACCTAGCTTTGAAGATAATTCTGCCTTCATTAGAATATTAATATTAATATTATTTATTACTACTTATAACATAGATATTTGGATTTAATCCCATTAAACATAATGACTGTTTATTTTATTTCCCAACAGGATATATATAATCCATGAATAATGAAAATTAAAGCTTTATTACAATTTATTTTAGACTATAACAGCTTAGTTATTTAGTTTTTTTATATATTTCCCTTGAACAGCTGATAAGGGCCAAACATCAGCTATCTGTATTACTTTTCACAATCAAATTTTTAAAACCAGGTCTGTACTCATATTCAACAAAATAGTACCATGGATGTTAATACTATTGTCACTTCCAGACTGTCTATACGATTCTCAAGAGTAGTTCTTACCTAATATCAGTATCATCTACATAGGAGAATAGTTAAAAAATGTGTGTAAAGAAAGTTGTACTTCAACAATATATTTTCTATTTAATTATAAAGGAAACAAATTCAAGATAGCAGTTCTGAAAAGTACTACAGATAGCTCAAATATAGCTCTGTAAACTGGTGAACAAATATTTGGGCGAATATATTCCTTCAAATCCCCTTCCTACTTTTGGTATTCTAAAAAATCCAGTTTATTTAAGTCTTAGAATCTAATTCCCTTTGTTTCTTAAGGCATAGAAATAAAAATCAATATCAAATTAAGTTTTTACATTGTGACAAAAATATACTGGAAACATCTGGCTAGATTCTTGATATCCAGACTAAATACAGAATCTTTCATTTCATACCAGAGTGGGAGGCCATACTGAATAACATATCATCAGATAATGACAAAATTGAACATCATGTCCTTTATGATATTGATATCATCTGAAAATAATTTGAAATTCAAACTATCATAAGATATCAAATATTTATGAAGGTAAATGTCATATAGTGAAATAATACAGTATCATTTATTATAGTATATAATAGTTAATAATACTATTCTAGTCTCTATCATATAATTTACAGTTCATTTCCTATATTCCTATTAATATCCATTTCAGTGAATTTAACACAGCTTTGATATGAAAATGAAACAGTATTGTATTATAGTGTGCAATGAGCAAAACATCGTATTGTAAATTTGAGAAATGTTATCTGTCAGTGAATCTTAAATTTCAACAGCCCGTGTCACACAGAGTCTGTTTTTTTATCCAAGACATTGACCTATATCAATGACAATGGTAACCTGATAGAAGAAAGTCTAAATTTGCCATCCTTTAAATAAAATCTTGACCCTATGTAAAGTATATCAGCTAAGTTATTTTAGTCTGAAGAATATTGAAATGGCTATCTGAAATACTTCGGTAAATTGTCAAGGTATCCATTATAAAATAGAGAAGTAAAAATTGGACTGAGAAATAACTTGAAAGCACTCAAAAACCAGGAAAAAATGACAAAATTTAACTGGTAAAATAAAATAATAATTGGTAAACTTACCCAAAATATAAAGTTGAAAATAATCAACATAACACGAGCACTTTCTACACAGAAACCCATTTTGTATGGCTTTAACAGTTAGACTGAAATGATAAATATCAGTTATAGTAACAATGACATCAAAAGGAAATGATAGTATTAAATATATATTAACTTTTCACAGGAAATATTAAACGTCATTGACCGAATTCAAAACTCAAGTTTATGAATCATTTTTCTAATCAAAAATCAATTTGAAATTTTCTAATTCTAGATAATTTATTATAACACGTAATGAGATCACAATTGTGAATGATTTATATCTTGTCAAATATCATTGAATATATTTCAAATATATTCCAATCTTCGTAGACATAATTTAGCTAAGTAACATTAGTCATGAATGAATATTACGTTCTGTCCTGTCAACCAGGAAAGGGCTGGAATATCTTGACTATTGAAAACTTTGAGGTAATTATTTTTCTTATCAAACGTGAAATTGAATCTAAAATTTTTCAAAATCTTAGTAGACATCAATTGATCTATACAGAATTATTTTGTACACTAATAAATTACTGCACTATATTTGTAGTCAAAACATTAAATAATATACCTAGAAACAAAGTAAAACAATGCCAAAGTTCTTTGGGTTATGTTATAATTCTTCATCATTATAAAGAAACAACTTCAAGACAGACTTGCTTTGATTGGTTCAAAATAACATCATTGGAACCAGACCTTGGTACAAAACTTGTAAGATTACGATGGAAACAAGACATATCCAAAAAAAATAAAAATACTATTGCTTGAGCAAGTTTGTTTGTGTATCAAATTTTGCCCATTTTTTTTTAAGTGAATTTATAAACTTTAAAACATTACTGATATGAATATGTCAGTTCAAATTTATTATCACATTGCTTTCTAGTGCTTCCTGTCTGATAAACAGAAAATTTAAAATTTTTGTGTGGGCTTAGGGATGGTTAAGCATATATCAATTTTCCAAGCAGAAACTAGATACCCAATGACATTTATCAATCCTGCTATTAGACAGTAAAAATTTAAAATTGGAATTTGGAACATTCAGAATGTGAGCAAGAAAGCAACACTTATTCAATAAGTAAGCTTAAAGTGACAGATTTGCCATTTTCAGGAATTGATTTGGGTCTTGAATATATAATGATACTTTTCAGATGTTGGCAATACGCTACAAATATCTCATAATTCCTTCAAAAATACCTCACTTTCTATTTCTATATATGTCTTCTCTATATATGGTAGAGTCTCAAGAAATGATGAGTTAATGGTAGCTTAGCTAAATATTCCTGTTTCTAAGTCTAAAGAACAATTTGTCAAACGGATAGCCAACCTGTCCCTTAATGCACAATTTGTACTAAAATTTACATATTCTAGATTTTCCTTCCTATTTTCAAAGCCACAAGATCTATAATTTCTTGTTATTCCATTTCTATCATTTATTCTTGTTCCTTCCGGTACTTTCTAAAGCCATTACCAGATGTTAAGATGTTCATATTGATAAGAGTGGTTCTTATAAAAACCTCTTTAATCTTTCACAAGCTTTAAGGTGATAATAAAACTCTTTCTCACACTCTACCAAGTTAACAAGATCAATACAGTCTAAAAATAAAATACTACACGACTATGTCATGATATGTTAGTGTGCCATATTGGTACTGATAAAGAAGGCTAAAGGAATATCATGTCCTTGTCCTATATCTTTGATTCCTATTTCAACCCTTGACCTTTTGGAAATGATGGCCTGCAGTATTGGTACTTTAGACAATAATCATTGTTAGCTATGTAGATTCTCTGAAATGGACCCCAAGGAGGCCAGGCGAATCGGGGCTGCCAGATTTCAGATGACCTCATTTAGAGGGCTTAATATTCACTTTAAAATAAGAACTTTCACAGGCCTTTCTAAATATGCTAAGCATAAGTATTGTATCTACTAAAGAGGTGAGGCGGAGCAAGAGAGTCTATGTGTAGCTTAGCACCTCCACTTTTAAATAGTTTTGGCTTAATAAGTATTAGCCTCTCCGTGTATTTACCCTTATCTTGATTTTAGAAATTTGAATGGGTCTGATGGGCATGTACAGATACACAAGTTTAGTGTAAATCAATGACAAATTAGTTATGTAATTATAGTTCATTTGGTAAGATAGGTGTTTTTGCGTCATTTCACGTCAGCAAATTACCACCCTTTTCAAGTAAGCTAGATAGCAGATCATGTGACAAGGTTATGTTTTATAATCAATAAAACGGTTACACCACAACAAGTTGACATTGAACTATCTAACATGATTACTAAACATATTGTCAAATGATGCACGACAATAACAACTACAATTTGTTATCTGCTACAATCAATAAATAAAACTATAGTGACACTGACTTAAAACAATTTGATAAAACACAACAATTCTAGACTAATCCTTCTATGATATATTAGAAACACAAGTCATAGATAAATAGAAATGAATATGAAATGAAATGAATGGAGTTAATGAGGACGGGCAATGCCATGCAGTGTTCTAAGAGGACAATTTTGCCAGGACAGCAGCATTAGCCTACTCTTTTTCGATTTCCAACTGTTGTTTAATGTGCACAGCCTGTAGCACACAGGGCTTCGGTTTATTGTCCCATCTCAGCCCTCCGACCTGCATCACTGACAAGGGGAAACCAGGTTGCAAAATCCAAAGGTATCATCTCGACCTATAACAGGTTAGTGAGGAATCGTCTTACTGAACCACCATGGCTCCCATGAATAAATAGAAACACAAGTTATAGATAACAAAGACAATGGATAGATACTTCTAAAATGTTTATTACTTTTAACATTTTAATATCATGTTCTAATATCGTGTTTTAATATTCAAACTATGGTGACACAGACTTAAAACCACTGTATAAAACACAACAATTCTACACTAATCTCTCTATAACATATAATAACCACAAATTTCAGATAAATAGGACAATTATTACAGATAGAGTATTCATTTCTTTTAACGTTTCAATGTGGTACACAAACCATCATCAGGAATGAAGTATCATTCATAATAATTGTTTTATTTTTCTATCTGTCATACTTCAGCAGATTGAATTTTACATATTATTTCTGAGTGAATTGAGATATTAGTTGTAATGATAGACTTGGAATGACTTTGTGTGCACACGCAAAATCATTTTGAAATTTGTGTTAAATACGAAATTTTCTGCCAAATGTTTTTGAATTCATGGTAGAAGTCTGTCAGATAGAAATTTGTTTAAATCAAATGTCAAATTTCTGCTTTATGAATTCTCTGTCATAAGTTTGAATGTTATATTCCAATTCACAATAATGCCTAACTTAACAATTCTATAAGAAATATTGTGAAAATAACCAAACCCCATATTGCCCAACCCTACTTACATCAAATACAGATATTTCCTTCCACAGAGTAATCAGTCACTGATTTAATACTGGTAACAAAACAGGTTTTAAGGGCCTCACCCACACAAAGTATTCTATAACTAAGTCACTGATTTAATACTGGTAACAAAACAGGTTTTAAGGGCCTCACCCACACAAAGTATTCTATAACTAGGTGTTCTCAATGAACATGAAAATTGTTGGTTACATTTCAACGACCACAAACAATATCCATCAGCTTCAATATTCTATCAAATAAGTAAAAAAAGGAAAAAAAGCTCCAAGAACACACCAAAACTTGTACTATGTAAACTGTATTGGATCTAAATGGTAAATCATATACATAAATAAATACCAGTACTGGTAAATACAATATTATAGATGGAAAATTCGAAGTCTTTTAATACTTTTTTTTTTAAAAATATTAAAGGATTTTCCATGGCCTATGACCAACTAAAATGATAATTGTGTACAAGCATATTCCTTTAGCAACAGTAGATTGTATATTCAAAGCAAAATTCCAGTTTTCATGAAAGAACATTTTCCTCCTTAATTTGAAAGAACCCGTATAAGCCTAGTCATAAAAAGATGCATTATCCAGGATTTAAATAAAGACATTAAAAAAAAAACTGCTACAAAAGAAGTGCATCAAAGGGCAGAGGAGTGTTGAAAATGGATACATTAAATTCCTATTCATTTTCCTTAATAGTGAGATTATAGTCTGTTTTGTCTGTCTTTCGCTGGAAATGACTTTGAAAAAGGATCATTGAAAGCATAAGTTTGTAATCATGTAAAATATGGCTGTTCTTTATAGTTATAGTAGCAATACATCTAAATAGCCTATTTATATATATTATGTTCTTATCGGAACAACATACAGACATGGAGAAGCTTATGGTAGATTATACCATAATTGGTATTGATTAACCTTGGCATGTAATTTACAGATCTAGATATTAACACCTTGGTTACCACATTCTTACTAGCAGAATATCATATTTATTTCTTATATCAACAACAAGTCAATATATTGCTTAGTTTGCTCATAGATAGATATCACTACTGTAGAAGAGGGGGGGGGGGGGGGATTGTAGATAGGTTTTTCTAAATTTTATATGTGTTTTTGGGACACTGATAGCATCAATTGGGCTATAACTTCACTTAAACTATGTATTTAATGACATCACTAATCATAAAAATTTAGAAAACCTCATAACAATCCAAGGCACACAATAATACACTGCTGTGCATTTGTGGTTTCAACAAGATCTATCTTACAAGATCACATGTCTAATGCCTGACGAACTGCAGATTTTGAAAAAGAACACTTACAAACTTTGGACCTGTCAGCAGAAACTGCGTAATATCAATTTTCAACAAAGCATCCATTGAAAGTTACAGTGCTCTTGTCTATTTGAATGCAAGTATAAGGTAAACTATTGATTTCCAATCAGTGTAAATTGGATTTATTCATGTGACAATAAATAACAATAAACAATACAATAACCAGTAGGGAATACTCAAATAATACCTGAATGATATTCACTTATATTACTCTTTTTAATTCCATTAGACTGAATATCAGAGGACAGGCATCAGAATGACATAACCTATCGCACTGTATCTGGTTTTTTGTATTTCCATCCCAACATTAGCACCAATTTTTCATGAAGTTGACCGCTAATTTGACAACATGGAACTAACCAAAGGTAATGTACCAATACAGACAATTCGTGAATTTAACATAAAAATATTTTATGATCTATTTTCAAGTATTTATAAGCTTAAGTAAAAACATAAAAAAAACTGAACAAAAAATATCTGAACTCTTGTTTATCAAAAATGCTTATTTAAGAAACATTAAAAAACATGATTACAATCTACCTGAAAGATAAGGGTGTGTATGTCATACACCCTGTCTACACCCTATTTATTTCAATTATCTTGTAAACTTGTTATACCTGAATTACTTAAATAAAACCTACTTCATGTATAATAATGAAAGATATATGTATGAATAATAAAATAATAAGTCTATAAAAATCAATATCAAGGGGTTTTATAGTAACCAGCAAAAGTGACAAAAAGCTATTATTTATAATCAATGGTCAGTCTATATAAGCTAATAGAAAAGTCTGCTGTACGTCCTTATTGTCCACTTAAAGGGAATTCTAGCCTTAGTGTTTATAACATGTTGCCTTATAAATAGTATTTATATTTTTATCAGAGGTTTGTGCTGACTGGATAATGCTGTCACTATCAAAAATACCATTTAAGCCAATTGATTTTTGCACCACTGACATCATATGCTCATTTTTTCCCCGAATTATAGGAACTACGGTACTGACGATGCAAGTCTCGCAAGCGAATACGCCCACCAGCAGCTTGATAAAGAGCTGAATGTGAACTGTAAACCAAACTGTATATCATAGCCTGTAGAGTGAGCATGATCCAAAAAAGTGAAAAAACACGATATCAGAGTCTTATGCGATATCTCTCAAGAAAATCATCGGATCCTCACCAAATTCATTAGTGCACATCTTCATAATGATATTGACACACATACAAAAGATCAAAAGAATCCATAGAGAATTGTAGCCTGTAGGGTGAGCACGAGTCAAAAAAGTGAGAAAAAAAAATGAACTTGATATTAGAATTTTATGCGATATCTCTCAAGAAAATCATCGGATCATCACCAAATTCAATAGTGCACATCTTCATAATGATATTGACTAAAATACAAACAATCAAAAGAATCCTTGGAGAATTGTAGTCTTTAGGGTGGGCAGAAGCAAAATAAGTGACAAAAACGAACGCGAAATCAGAGTTTTATGTGATATCTCTGAAGAAAATCATTGGATCATCACCAAATCCAATAGGGCACATCTTCATAATGATATTGGCACACATACAAAAGATCAAAAGAATCTATAGACAATTGTAGCCTGTAGAGTGAGCACGAGGTAAATGTGAACGGACACACCAACACGAAATCAGAGTTTTATGCGATATCTATGAAGAAAATCATTGGATCATCACCAAATTCAATTGTGCACATCTTCATAATGATATTGGCACACATACAAAAGATCAAAAGAATCTATAGATAATTGTAGCCTGTAGAGGGACCGACGGACAGGGGCAACCACAATATACGCCCAATATAAAAGAAGTAGTTATTGTATGTTGCGAAGAGAACACTAGATTAATTTTTTGTACAAGAATCAATTAATTTATGATAATTTTCTATGCTATAAATTTCTAGAGCTATAATTTATAATTCATAATTTTTTCTGACCTATCAAAATATTAACCAAAGTTCAGTAGGTTAATATCAATTTGTAAGACCAGTAATTCTGAGAGTGCTGACATCTGATTTTCATTTAGAAATAATCTATGGAAGACAAGGTATACCAGCTTTCAAATGAAACAAGAAAAAAAAAGAACATATATGTGCAATGGATCAAAATGATGCATAAAGCATGGACTGACGTAAATATTTTAAGAAGACCTTTCTGACTGAAAATGGATGGCATACAAGAACTACAAGAGAGTACTGACAGTTTTTAAAACGATTAGAAAATAACTGTGGCTGAAATAGCAGACAAACAGGACTTCATCAGCTTTCTAGAACACCTGATAACACTCTACTGACAGCAACTGTGTTGTTATCATGGCACACCTTTTAGGGAGTCAACAAATAAGTATTGTTAATTATCTTCTATAGATCATATTTACTTAACATATATATGTACCTATGTATGTAATGATTATGAAATACTTATAATCAATTATCTATTAGAAAACACTCCCTGTAGTTATCCGCCCTAAGTAATAGCAATTATTTTCAGCAGATTTTAATTCTAGATAAAATTTCAATATTTTTTCAAACATGAGATGATTAGTTGACAAGATCTGTATAAAAGGAGAAATGCGTGCCTGCTTCATCAGACTGCATTGATAACTGTAATTTTCATTCCTTAGATGCCTCATATGACTGCAAGTATTACATATATATAAGCTTAAATTTTAATTCTTCAGATGGCTGCAAGTGTAGGAATTTATCATTCAATTCCTCAAAGACTATTATAGAGTAATAAACTACTGTAATCTATTCTGATTAAAATTCCTATAAGGTCAAAATATCACAGTTAATTAAAGATGACATTTGAATGCCAGTGACAGAAAATTCAACTTGTGCTATTTGTATCTGTCTAATGTTAAAATGTCATATAGAATAAATAACAGAAATAAAGCAGGGTTGTTGATTTGAATGTATTTGCCAGACATGGATGGTTAATATTCAATAGAGGATGGAAATGAGATGCCTTTATTTATATAAGACATTTTTCATGAATCTAGACCCTAAAATATTTGACTTTAAAGTACCAGAAAGATGATGACCAGGCATTTTCCAGGCATGTCTCACTAGACCCATAAATTATCAAAGTGGGATTTAGGTTACAACAACATGGTTTTATGGATATAGACTTCTATTTATTTAGGAAGAATAAGGTGCTATTGACTAATAAAGAAGAAGATACATAGAAATTTATATTCATAAAACTGTTCTTTCTCAATGTGCTGTGATACTTCTAAATGTCTTATACAAGAATTATATTTACCAGTTGTTTACAATGAAATTGGTGAGAAGCCAGATTTAGCTTTAAAAGTTCAACTGCTTTGCTGTATTTATTCAAAGTGATTTAAAATCTTTTAGGTCTAATATTCTACTACTTATACTGAACTGATAGCACACACTTATTCTTAATTACCAGTACTTTATTTCTTTAACCTTACATAGCTGCACAGTAGGGTTTTATCTGAATATTAATGTTTACTTACTTGTTTACTATATCTAGAAAGGTACAATATCAGTTACAATTTGTTTGCTAAGTATTAACCAAAAAGGCCAACTCATAGTTTGGCAAAGTTCACTTCAGTTCAATCAAGAATGACTAAATCTAGAGTGTTTAAAGGAGATAGGAATATGCCTAAAATGTTGTCTTCAGATATCTGGTTTAGTAAGAAAGACCTGGGGCAATGTTAGTAAGACTGTTGATCATAAATATCATGCCATTGCCATTAGCAGTGATGTCAATTTTGGTATGGCACTTATACTTATAGTAGCCTACAGCTCATTACTATTACTGGTACCGTACTTATTATAAGATTATAAGATGCATTTTCTTACTGAATTAACTTACTGACTAAGTAAGCTTTGAGCTTTGAATTGAAATTTTTCACTCATTTCATAGGTACCGGTATTCAAAAGATAATTTCCTACTTTATACCATTAGTCTCAGAATGTCTTCAGTGTCCATACAGAAATTTAAGGTTCAGTGATTTTACATTTGAAATAGACACACTTCATTCCCAGAATATTCACGTGAACATGACCTACTTTTTGAACTGAAAATTCCCCAATCTATGTAAAATCATGTTTACAATTAATAACTTTTCCAGTGGTTGACATTTTCATCAACCCAAACGCAATCGAAAACTCTAAGTGGTATTTTGTAATTGATATTGCCAAAATCCAATTCAGAAAGCAGTGTAGTCAGAGAAATAGATTTAGTTAGGCTAGGCCTATTTGAATATTGGTAAACACTACAAGAATTTTTTAGCATATTCTAGAGTTCATACACAATGTCCAATATGAATAACTGTGGATTTCTTATCCTCCAATGCTAATTAAGTCGTATTGCTCAGGCAATATCTTTGTGTGACATAACATCGGGAATGACTTGCTGTTAAACTGGACTGAAGTGAATTATATGATACTTGAAATGAATCCAAACAAACTCAAACTGATCAGCTGAGATCGATAAATTACTAACATTAAGACTAAAGAATCGCATTGAGTGTGTCAAATTAAAAACAGTGATATATAGTTCATGCTTACCCACTTTCAACTTTTTAAATAATAAGCACAATCCTCGAAACAAAACAAGTTTGGAATCTTTAGAAACAACTTGACGTACTGGAATTTACTATCAACATCCAAAACGCCACCTAGCGGCAGATGCTTGCTTGAATATTAATTGACCGTGGTCACCAGATTAGTTTCATTCATTTGCACTAAAATGGAAATGTCACGCTTGATTGAATGCATGCGATAGAAAAAACTCCAGGCATTTAAAATATATTGCAACTCAATGTTATAGCCTTGAATCTAATTCTTGCTATGTAGATTAATAAAATGATTCAAAGAAAGACAACTCTTAATGGAAAGCCACACCCTTTTAGTGTATATTTACTGCAGTCTGTAGCATTTATTTCACATTGTAGTTCTCTCCCTCTAGTCAAACCCGGTGAATGTGAAATTTTGGGGTTTTACATCAAGAATTTTATATCTCAGATAGGCACAAGTTGCCTGTTAAAATTTAGAACGCTGCATAAATTCGGCGCTTACTTTTGGAAATCTTACTGATGAAATAACACATGGTGGTCTGTAATAATTAAAAGACTCTTTGACAAAAAAAAAAATGTTAAAGCTACAAACAAAAAACTTGCCTTGTAAATGATCTTGAAAGTACGTTGAGGTCTAAATATATGTTTGATCATTCTTTCGATTTTTCACATTAAACAATTAATAATCAAAAAATTTTTTGGAGCTTGAACACTTTCTTCGTTGGAAGAGAACCAAACACATTTTCACAGACTTTCCAAAAATCTAATAACCCGATTGGCATTATTCCGTTTATTGCTTATCAGATGTCTCTCATGTACCATTAAGATTATCAGTTCTTGTGCTGTTTTGATTTGAAGTACTCTAAGCACATTGGAATATTATAAACAAGATACTAAACTGAAGGAATTTGTTTATAATTAAGTATATTCTACGATAATTAATAATTTTCTTGAAAACTTTTTCCCACGATCTCTCGTCATTTTGGTAGGCTATAATGTTAAATCATTTCAAGAACCGTACTCGTTTTCCGATACACCGTATTTGAAATTGTTAAACGTCTTCGCTGTCCTAACTCTTGTGTTTTATGGGACAGAGGTCCAGGCATAGGAAAGAGATGTAGGCCAGAGATCAGTTTTTCGAACTTAACCAACCTGAAAAAGAGGTTTATATAAGTGACAAAAGAGAATAGCCGTCAGTATTTTGTAAATTGAAAATATCTTTTTGAAAATTCAGTACATAAAGTAGATTAGGCTACCCAAAGTCCCAAAAAAATCCAATTACTCTGTCCATACCCATTCACGCCTGGCCAACTTGTGTATCAGATTGGAATCGCCTCTTTTTTATTTCTATATGTACATCACAGAGATCATTTTGCTATATGACAATAAAAGCGAGAAATCCAGTCTTTTCAGCATATTACTAAACTATCGTGTCCAGCAAGAAACAGATAATACACTGTACTTGCCACATTGACAGTACTGTTGTCTGTGGTAAAAATGTCAATTATATGTATATAAGAGTTACAGGAGAGGTGTCAGCAGAAGGATTGCACTTTTTCAAAACGTCAAATAATATCTTTTGAATAAAGAATGATTGACGCCACACACGATTCTGAATCTAATAACGGACTTTTAATTAGAGAAGATTTCATTTTGAAGAAATGATTTGATTTAAATCCGAAATTCGAATGTAACCACATGAATTAAGCCTATTACATTCAGTAGAATTGTAACAGTATTGGCCTATTGGACATTATGTGTTCAATTCAAGTCATAATCCGTTGGTACGTGTAATCAACCCGTTTTAAAGGGGTGGCGTGATGAAAATGCGTTGTGGTGTCAATAAATTCATTTTTGTGTCTTTACAGCCAAAATTGGGTGAATGTCCATTTCTGAGAATGCTTAAAGATTTGGACCTATCGATTTAATCCTGTTAATGAATGTGAGTCATAGCGACACGGGCCTTCCCCCGGGATATAGGGATAGATCAATAGGAGCTTGATAAGAGGTGTGTCCTATGAAGGTTTGGGTAGGTGTCATCATCGTCCACATTCTGTGGTTTGGACGCACCCAGACATTTCTTTCAAATGCCTGCGGTATTTAAAACCAGTTGTATACGATCGGCCCTTATCCATTAACAGATGGAGCAAAATCTATTTTCAAAGTAAAGCCAAAATAATGCTCATTTGATTTTTGCATGTGTCCAAAATATAGTTTTATACATGTAGTTGAACTAAAATGAGTTATCTTTTAGTCGACAGGCTATAACAGAGCCTTAGCTTTGAGGGTCGTCACCGCCCATGTTGCCAAGAGACAAGCTGTATTTAACTTCCCACAAACATCTTTCTATTTCAAGTTATAAGTAAATATTATTTTTCTGGAAACCTCATTGCTGGGATTGATGACTTGTGATCTCTCAAAACTTTCGTCTTAGCTGCTTGACCAGTCGCCATTATTAACATCTATTGCTTCAAAGTTCAATAATATTGTCAAAAGGGTCACTTTGAAGGATTGGGGTCAAATAAGACCCTCAGACGGTCAAGATTAAAGACCAACATCAAAGGTGGTTTTCAGAACAGAAATGACTATTATGGACTCTATTTACAAACTCTCTAATCAAGATGGCGGCATTGTTTAAATTTAAAATTCGATTATCGAGTCCCAACATTAGACGAAATATGAGGCATAGAATTCTTTGCTGTTTAATCAAGTCTATCTACATCAATATTTTCAAGTTTAACATGTAATGTAACCATTGATAATAATCAAAGAAGGGTAAGGGTCAATAGTAAGGAGCTGGCTAAAGTTTCATGTGTAAGCCTATAACCTTTCCAAGATAGTTTTAGCTGAATCAGCTTTTGTAGATATAAACCTATTCCAGCAAGATACGGTCCTCCTTCCAGTAAGAAATATACTTGTGGACCGTTATGGTTTTCCTGCGATTTCCCAAAGGAAGAGCATTTACATAGACATCATAAAAGCATTAAAAATTTAACATTCTACTTTGACGACTAGTGGATCTTTAATAACCTGCATGCTGCTATTTTGAAAATGAAAGTATTATGTTGGATTCGACTGCAAGTACAGTTGAAATAAAAATGGGGTAAAGGGCGTTATACCGAGACATAAAATATATAAAGAGTGAAAAAGTGAAAAAGAAAAAAATTGAAATGAATGGCCTTGATTTGAAAACAGATATCTGATTATATCTATCTCATTCTCGGATTTCTACATGCATGATGTAACTCGTTATTTATATTAAACAAATACCCTCTTTGTCACATTGAAATAAAAATAAATGAGGTGAAAGGAAGATCTGATTACAAATAAATTAGAAAATAGCTGGAGATCGAGAGTTGTATTCAACTTTTTCGACATCCAGACAGTGCTGATTTATTAAAACATTTTCAATTTAAACAGTTCAGTTAAATATTAAATGCAATAAGATGGTTTTACTTCCTCCTGTGAAATGATTAAAATCTGCAAGACAGTGGCCTCAGTCATCGGAAAGACAAACATCGACAAGCCCTTGTTCAGAAAAGAACAATCCAAGTACAGATAATTATTCAAACAAATGCTGTAGGGGCCCCTGGACGAAATTGGGTCCTGGCCTCTCCCCTGGGAAATTGATTCAGATAAGGAAATAATATTGCCCTTGGTAGGTCCTCAACCTAAGTTTTGAACCATTTAATATTGTGTTGACCTTTAAGATATTTGTTTCTGGGGGTGGTTGGGGTCTGGTGTACATAGTTCAACCAGTTCCCATGGTAGTTGAGACACATCATAATGGATAACAAAAATCAAAGGGGGGCTATTATTCAACTGAAACGAGAACTTTAAGGTAAACGCTTTAAAAGAAGACTTGTCTTCTAAATTCAGCTCAAATTTTATTTGAATAAACGCCCTGAAATCATATATACAGTCTCATTCGTAAACATGTCAGGAGAGTTCATGTCATTCTATGGGTGTTTGGTACTCCATGGTGAGAGCAATAGCTCACAGACTAAAATACGAAACAAAATACATATAGATCTCGATTGCCATCAAATTGTGATATAGGCATGGCTCAGGTTTATATACCCTTGGAGACAAATCCTGTCATCTAAATTCAACCCAATTTTCATTTTAATTTGATATGCCATAGCAAGCCACTAGCTCACAGACAAAATAGAAAATAAAATACTTAGAGATCTGCATTTTAATCAGATTGTGAAATGAAATATAATGCTATTGTTTATTGTGATTGTTACATGTACCCGAGGGATGGCATGAAAAAATTCAAACCCAATGTTACACGTGCGTTTTTATAATGGACTATCATATGTCCAACACTTGTTACATATTTCAATTTTATCTCTCAAATATCAAAAGGAGTTCCTTTCGCACATTCTGTCACACTCATTATTATAAAACCTGTACAAATATAACTCGATACTCTTATGTCTTTATTATAAAACATAATAGGTACAATCATAACCCTAGTCAACCAACTAAATTGTTGAAATAGACTTGAAAATTAGATTTTGTTGTTGAGTTTCAGAGGTGCTTATCGGTATTTCAGAAAAAAACTGGTCTACCTATACCATCATCGTCATCGCAAATAAAAACAATAAATTGCTCCTCCGGATATATACACATCATATTACCTTTGTTAAAGACATCATGTTACCTTTGTTAAACACATCATATTACCTTTGTTAAACACATCATGTTACTTTTGTTAAACACATCATGTTACTTTTGTTAAACACATCATGTTACTTTTGTTAAACACATCATATTACCTTTGTTAAACACATCATTTAACATTCGTTAAAGACATCATGTTACCTTTGTTAAACACATCATTTCGTTAAGCAGAACATGTAACCTCCCTTAAGCACAACATGTAACCTTCGTTACTACCTACCTTTAACGTCATCTTCACTACAACTAACCACCAAATTGTCCCTTCGGGTATATTACTTGCATTTAAGTTTTGTTGAGCCACCACCTAACTTCGTTTAGCACATCATGTAACCTTCGTTAAGCAGAGTGTTGTACTAATGATATCTAGACCATATTGCGTCCATAACAAGTTCTG